TTTGAGAAGCTGACTCTGTGAAGAGGAGTGTGGAATCAGGATTGGAGGGAAACTCATCAATAATTTGCATTATGAAACAACCTTGCTCGCTGAAAGTGAGGACTTGAAGCACTTGTTGCAGAAGATCAAGGAATGCAGCCTTCAATATGGATTATATCTCAATGTCAAGAAAACAAAGATCCTTACCACTGGACAGAGAGACAACAGCATGACGGATGGAGGAGAGATTGAAGCTGTCAGCAACTTCATCTTACTTGGATCCAGAATTAACATCCTTGTTACCAGCAATCGGAAATAAGGAGACGTACTACACTGGAAAAGTGCAGTTAAGGACATCTCCAAATTATTGAGGAGTAATGATATTAGTTTGAAGTCTAAGATGCATCTGATTCAGACCGTGGTCTTTTTGATCACTTGCTATGCATCTGAGAGCTGGACAATGAATAATGATGACAGAAAAATAATTGATGTCTTTAGGCTGTGGTGTTGGAGAAGAGCACTGAACATTCCACAGATGGCCAAAAGAACAAACATATATGTCTTGGAGAGGGTGCAACAGAGTACTCTTTGGAGGCAGAGGTGATAAGGCTTTGCCACATATACTTTGGGCATGTTACTAGAAGGAACTATTCTCTGGAGAATAGACATGATGAGAGAAGGACATTGATGCTTGGAAGAGTGGAAGGTCAGCATAGGAGAAGAAGACCCTTGACCAGGTAGATTGACACATGGACTGCCACAATTGGCTCTAGTGTGTCAGGAAGTATGAAGATGGCACGGGATAGAACAGGCTTCTGATCTATTGTTCACAGAGCTTCTGTGAGTCATACTCAACTCCATGGCACCTAACAACAACAACACAGATTTTGAACTGAGATTTTTCTTGAGTCATGCAAATAGTTAAATGTTCAAATACTCATCAGAAGTTTTGACAGATTTAGTTCATTTAGAAGTGTCTTTAAAGAAAGACCCAATGATTTATATCAAAAGACAAAGCCACTGAAAATCCTAAGGAGCAGAGAAAATCCCATTACAAAAGAAAATGGAGTGGCTAAGAGTTGAAATCTGTACATCTAGTATTTTAAATTGAAAGTTTTCAGGTGCCTTTCTAAAAGGCTATAATACGATAATCCACTCATCCATCAAAAATGTATGAGAACATACATTTTACCAAATTTACTAACACTATATAACGTGATAAGAGTATAATCTGTAAACCCTCGTACACATCAAATAATATATTTTACATTAAAAACATTTAACTTTTGTTCTTAGTATCACTAACTCAACCATTAATATAATTACTACTAAGGTAACTTCCCTTATAATTGTATACAAAACCAGAACTAAGTAGGTAATACAATATGGGTTAAAATGGTGACAAGAAGCAATTTGTTGACTCTTCTTTTCTCTGCATAATTTCTATTGGCTCTCTTTTCCTATTTATTGGGGATGGATATTTCCTCAGTATTATGCAAAGTGTATTGCAAAGACGGATGAGTTTTCTTACTCTCTACCTCTGACACAAGTGATGTGTACATGATGGGAGAGGCAAGAGGGAGATCAAAGTGAAGACATAAGGTAGATTTGAAGTCTTAGTGAAAAGTGCAGAATAATTGTGAAAATTTCAGATCCTACAATACAAAGTCATGCTAATTAAAGTCTTGGGACAAAATGTTTCCAGGACATTCTCCCTTGAGATTCTTAAACCCTCTATTAGCAAAGCATCAAGATTATGTCAACCATATCCTACCTCTGACCAACACCCTTAATTTGTAATCACTGCTAATATTAATGATCAGATTTGGGGCAGTCGGATTTGAGGAGATGAAAATGATACTCTATCTATTTATCATTCAATCAATTCTTAGACTTAATTCTGAACCAGAAAAGAAGAGCCTAGTCTTTCTCATCCAGGATTTTCAAGTTGCACTGATGAAGAGAATTTATGAAAATTGTAAGGTAGATAACTTTACTATGGGATAAGATATTAAAATAATCACTAAATGTTTTCCTTTATTTCTGAAAAGAAATTAGTAAGTCTTAATAAATTAACAGTAATAAAATTATGATAGCACTGGGCTATTAAAATATTTTAATCATCCCCAAGTAAACTGCCAGAATAACTCATTGAAATTCTCTTTCTTTTTATAGACATAAAACTGTCCAATCAACTTGAGTGTGTAGATATATAAACATGATTGTCTAAGTGGCTAATAAATAGATCTATATATCTGATAAAAAGAAGTTTTTCCTCACATAGGTCAGAACTAACTCAACAGTACCTACCAACAACAGCAGTTTCAAATCCATTTTTTTCCATCTCTAGGACAGCTTATTTTCATAAGTTATAAAATGGAAAAAAGTAAGAGCTTCTTGCACTTAAAATATTATATTAACGGGGGATGTTACGTTTATGGCTGAGAAGTATTGGGTTAGAGTTTTAGCCCTACTCTCAATGTATTCTCAGCAAGTAGTTACTCTTTATATGCTCTCTCTTTGTGGTCCATAAATTGAATGCACAAAGACAGAATAATTTTCTCAGGATTCTTTTTGGGTTATGCAGCAATAAGTGTTAAGAACCAATCAAATTACCTGATATGACTAGTGTACAATGAAAGAAGACCTATGATTGCTATTTATTCAGTTAATAACAGAGTGAAATCTGTATAATGTCTTTCTAGTTTTGTTCAAGTCTATTTTTCCTAGTTTTTTTATGATATAAAAAATAAAATCCACTAAACAACATCAAATAAAAAGAAATCAATATCAAAGTATAAACCAAAATGAATGATTATCATTAAATTATTCAGTTGTTGTTTAAAAAAGATGTTATTGCATTATAAAAAAAAAAAGTCCAATAACAGAACCATCGCTGCACTAGAAATTCCCTCAGAGTTTAGCACACCTAGTATAGCGGTTCTTTAACAGAAAACATTTGGAAAGTCATGGTAACTCTATATCTAACATGGATATTATAGCATCATTTTACTTTTTTATTTCCTCCACGAATTAAGGAAACGTCATGTGTAGGCATTACTGGCATCAGGAAAATGAAAGGAATTCTATTTAGCGTAGTTTCTTAGAATTTCTGAGATTACTCTGAACTTGAACACGAACATGAAACGATGGTCAAGAGTGTTGAGGGTCTGGTCCCTCTCTGCTTATCTGGATCTCTCTAAGAGAAGTCACAATAAACCAGGGCGTCTCATTAAGGGACAAGAATATTACAATATTAAATAATATGTTTATTGACAGCTGTTCAAGAGGTTCCAGGACATATCTATTATCCAGTCCAAGAAAGATGGTAGAATAGAGGTGTTCTTCTTTCTTTCTGCTCTGACATCCTCAAAGAAAGGACCTAGAAGACATCCATAAATAAATATGAGAGATTCAACACAAGGCTTGTGGCAAGTGAAAAGGTAAATATATTTTCAGAGACCATATGAATATTGCATGGCATTGAAGTATTATGCCTCTTTGAATAATTTCTAATGTTAACTGATTTTGAGAGACAGTTGTTAAAATCCCAGGTTCCATCTCAGTAGATATTGATCTGAACTCAGAAATCAGTTTTTACTGGAACAGAAGCAGACAATTTTGAAAGGCAATGTATTGTGTAGATTACATGCTGTTTCGAGGATCAGACTTCCCAGGGTAAGACTTTTAAAATTTTGGATTGAAAAGGAAACCCTGGGGACCTTGTCATAAAGCTGTGCTTCCAACTCAAAGGCATGTGGTTTGAACCCATGAGCTGTTCTGCAGGAGAAAGAATTATTTCAGCCTGTAAATGATTTAAATTTTACATTAAACAAGAGAAAACGCAGATCCTTGATTGTCCTTGGAGTGAACTGAGTAAAGATAGGCCCATTTGTGGAAGCATTCTATTTCATTTCACTTCATGTTCTTACAATACATTTCTGAAGGGCTGAGTCATCTTTCCTTCTAAGCAGTTATTGGTGCTTGAATAAAAGTCACTTCAGGAGAAACACAATCAGGCTCCTTATATGACTCTAAACATAATGCACCAGATCTATACATAAAAAGAATCTCGAAGCACAGAGCAAAAGTTGTGTAAATTACAGAAAGGTAAAAATGAAAAGACAGAAGATGTGAAGTTAAGTAGATTTGCAAAGCATAGATTGACAAAAAATATAGACAATGTGAGAAAAGTGCAAAGAAAAGAATGTTGTATGAGATCAGTGTTAGTGGTAAGAAATGTGGGTACTTACATATAGAGCTACCTGACAGGAGCAAAGGCCTCTCAATTTCCCCAATACTCTGATGACTCTAGCATTAAAAATTCTTCTTACCCATGGTGGACAGTGACTGGTGAAGCTCCCCAATTAAAACAAGCTTGGGAGCAGGAGTGGCATTCACTTCTGAAATAGCTTGCCTCTGGAAACCCTATGAACCTGGAGAAAAGATGAAAATTATACAAGTGTTCAGGTCTTTCATTCATAGGGTCATTATGAGTAGCCTACAACTCAATGGCACTTAACAACACAACAACATTTATACTTATAGTTTTTCTTCCTGCTAAATACATAGCCCAAGCCTCACCACATGAAACATCAGGTTAATTCTCAGCTGATCCATTACTGATTCCACATTTTAATAGTGTCCAAAGATGTGAGAACACTGAGCACTTTACATTAGATAAGGACCCTCGAAGAATGAAAACTTATAAATTAAAAAGTTTATAGTCTTCTTCATAACTGGATTAAGCAAGGAAAGTAATCAAGTTGATGGTATGTCGGTGTCAGTGTAGGGGATATGTGTGTGTATCTTTAGTCTGTAACGGGCAAAGGGCAAGGACATTGTGACTGTACCACACACAAAAGTACGACGGTTCTGAGAACCATATACTCACTAAAATGGTTTTAAAGTTAAATGAACCATTGTTTCTATATTCTGAAATAAACAAGAGATTGCCTACATAAGATATCCACAAAGAATGACTCTGTAGATTCTCATCAGCGATCTTAGCACATTGATAAATGGAATTGATTAGTGTGTCTTGTACTAATCAATATTCCAGGAAATGCACTAAATGTCTTCAGTGTCACAGAAGTTGGCTAAATGTTGACTTCATGAAAATTATTGTTAATGCCTTATCCATCATCTCTTCCAGCTTTATCACATCGGTGTCCATTGTTTTTCCCATTCACCAATATGCCCATTACCACCACGGCTATCTCTCATTTTCTCCCATTTTTCTCCAGAAACTCTGAATCTCCAATCCTGCTGAACTATCTTATGTTCTTCCTCTGTTGTTTCCTGCTTCATTATACACAAAACTTCTATTAGCTGGAATGCCCTCTCAGATTAGAAAGCTCTTTTTCATCGTTTAATAATCAGTTAAAATGTCACTTCAATCTTGAAGATTCCCCTTACTTACAACTTTTGGATAAATTTTCATGATAACAAACCTCACATTTTACTGTCATAGTGACCTTCCCCCTCAAACTTACTGAGTCAAGAGAGAAAATCCTACTTAGCACTGAATCTTTGTAGTCTAGATTAGAGTTTATCCGTCATGGACACTGGGCTAATAAGATATAAGAGTAAAAGAATGACTGAACCAGTTGGTGAAACTAGTCTGGGAAACGTACGAAAAGATGAGTTTGCAAATCTGTAAAATTTTGAATTTACGTAATAGAGCATAGAGGTTAGCTACCCAACAGATGGCTACGTGGTCTTATGGAAATTTATAATTATACAAAACCTTGTAAAAGAAAAAAAAATAAAGCTGAAAGAAAAGGGTAAAATTTTCTTTTTCTAGAAGGAATTTTAGTAAAGGATTATAGACCTTACAAAAAACAAAGTAAGACATTCAATTACTCTCTCTGTCATCTACCGCATGAATTTAACCAAGACCTTTAATCTCATTTAGCTTCATTTTCTCATTTATATGATTTGTCAACCTTGTGGCTGACTTGATCACAACTAACAACAAAAACAGAAATCTGAACAACTGAGCAAAACTGATTATCTATTTTGTTACAGAATTTATACAAATAACATTCATCTTCTATGTTTATAGACATTTCACTGTAAAAAATGCATTTACAAAATACGTATTTGCTTTTACATGAATATATGGCATTAAATGTTTAAAATAAGTTTAAAAAATCTATAAACATACAAATAAAATTTAGTTCATAATAAAATAATCTATAACCTATCAACACCTTGATTGATGAACATGAGAGTAGAGAAGGAGAGAGATGAATAGAGGGAAACCACTAACGTGGGAATATTTAAAGTTTGTGACAGTGAATAATCATGCTTTAGCAGTTTAAGTAAAACTAAATTAAAATTCTTTCATCCACAGGTTTTTGTTTTGTTTTTAATATGCCTATGACTCTACAATATTAATTGTTGTCAAGCCAACTATCACACATACCAAGCCTATGAACAACAGTTTAAAACGTTGCACCATCTTGGACCATCCTCACAATCTCTGCTATGCTTGACCCCCTTGTTATAGTCACTGGGTCAATTCATCCCATTAAGGGTCATTCTTTCACTGGCAAAGGGTAAGCCTTTCTTAGCATCATGTCTGTTATAAAGGACTGGCCACTCTTGATAAATGACCTAATATATGAGACCAAGTTTTACCATCCTTGCCTCTAAGGAGCAGCCTGGTTGTACTTCCTCCAAGAAAGATTTGTTTGTTCTTTAGATAGTTCATGGTATATTCAATATTTTTTTGCCGCTATCATAATTCAAAGGTATCAGTTCTTCTGTCATCTTTACCCATTTTCCAACTTTCAGATACATAGGAAACAATTGAAAATAATATGGCTTGTGTAAGGTTCTTCTTAGCCTTTAAACTGATAGCCTTACTCTTTAGTACTTTGGAGAGATTTGTATAAGTACAACAGTCATCTGTTTGTTGTACTGTGGCAATTTAAATGTTGTGATGTTGATGGAATCTATGCTATTGGTTTTTAAAATACCAGTAGAGTCACCAATAGTGGACAACTTGCAGTGGAACTTCCAGACTAAGATATACTAAGATGCTGGACTGGTCATTCACTTCTGAATCATCAGAAACATTATAGCTAATAGAGGAATGCTGTTGTATATAGAGACCTAGTGGTCTAATCAACTAAGATTAATGGCCTAATATTTGCTTGGAGGCAAAGATTTTGAAGGTCAGACTCATATACTTTGACAGTCTTTGGGGAAAGAGATCATGTTTGGAAGGGAGAATGGGTCAGCACACAAGAGGAAGACTCTGGGTAAAATGAATTGACACAGTGACTGTGGCACAGGGTCAGGTATGTCAGAGACAGTGAGGTTGGTTCAAGATAGTGTCAAGTTCAAGGTGGCTGTTCATAGGGTTACTATGAGTCACAGTTGACTCAACAGCACAAAGCAACAATAACAGCGGCCTAGAAGGTAAGAATGTGTGATGCCAATCCCAAAACAGACTGTTGGAATCCACCAGTTGCTCAGAGGGGAAAGATGGGGATCTCCTCTTGTCAAATGTCCAGCTTCTGAAAACACACTGGAAGGTCAGCTATGAGTCAGAACCAACTCAATGGCAATGAGCTTGAGTTGTTTATTTTCGGATATGGAGCATATAGATGAACCTCTCTGATTGGAGCTACTTTAAAAAAAATGAGGAGAAACAGATACAAACATCTATCATAATTGTAACTTGGAATGTACAAAGTGTGAATCTAGGGAAGTTAAAATGTCAAAAATGAAATGGAGTGTGCAAAGATCGACATCCTGGCCATTAGTGAGCTGAGAAGAACTGGTATTAGTCATTTTAAATCAGCAGCAATTGTTATTGCTGTTATGTACTGTCGAGTCACAATCAACCCATAACTCATAATTGACCCTCCAGTGGGTGTTCAGAGGCAGTAAAATGCATGGGAGAGACTGCCCTTTGATTCAGAGAGTAGTTCCTTACTACTAGGCCACCAGAGAACCTTGAATGACCAGCGTGATGAATTTAAAGTTCACAAAGGTAATTTTAACTTACATAAAACTGACAGTGATAAAACTTGTAAGGTCAGTGAACATCAATGTCACTGTTATCTACCGCATTCTCTAGTTCAGCTTTAATTGTGGGCAAAACAAGAATAATTTATGGGAAACTGGAACAGTTTCTGTAGGAATGAAAAAGCCTAGTGCAGACTTCACCTCACTGTGAGAACACATTTCTTTCCTCAGGTCTCTACATCTCCAAGGAAATCACCATTTTTTCATGGAATCTCACAAGACTGAAGTAAAATGTTGAATTGTTTTTACTTTCAAAATTTAACATTGCTATACCACCTCTGCTGAAGTCTAGATGAGACCACAAAGTGATAAGTGGCTTATTTCTTTAAGGAATGCATATAATAGTCATCAAAATGACTGGCTGTTAATGGAACATTAAAATGTCCCTGTACGTAACTATTTGATTACTTCCTGTGACTGAAGTTTGCACTAGTTACAATATAAATTTACTAAGGAAAAATTTTATGTGTTGACAAATTATTCATGATACTGAGGATATCACAACAAAAGAAGATATTGTGAGATAGAGATGACAGATAGATAGATAGATACACAGACAGATATATCCTGAGAGTAAAGGTAGACCAGTTGTAAGACAACATGCTATCTGAAAAAACAATATTTTTGTCCTTGTTTTCAAAGTAATGATGATCAGTCATGGAGATAGACAATGAGACTGTCATCACAGACTTTGTTCTCCTGGGACTCTGGCCTGAGTTCAGTCACCTGGTCATCCTCATCTGCATCATTCTTCTGATCTATTTTGTGGCTGTGATGGGCAACACGGTTCTCATTCTCCTCATCTGGTTGGATTCTCGGCTCCACTCGCCCATGTACTTCCTGCTCAGCCAGCTCTCTCTTATTGACTTGGCCTTGATCTCTACTTCTGTCCCCAAAATGGTCACAAACTTCTTTTCAGGAAAGAGAACCATATCACAGGTTGGCTGTGGAATCCAGATCTTCTTTAGTTTAACCCTTGGGATTGCTGAGTGCCTTCTGCTGACCCTCATGTCCTATGACCGCTACATTGCCATCTGTAACCCACTGCGGTATTCCGTCATCATGAGTCACACCATCTGTATACAGATGGTTATTGGGTCCTGGGTGGGAGGAGCAGTAACTTCGCTGGTTCATACAGCCTATGCTATGCACTTCCCCATCTGTCGTCCCCGAGAGATTCCTCACTTTTTATGTGAGGTCATGGCCCTCTTGAAGCTCACCTGTGAAGATATTTCAGCCTATGTAAAGTCAGTGGTGGTGTCAAGCTTTCTGGTGGTCCTCATTCCCCTCAGTCTCATCCTGACCTCTTACAGCCTCATCTTCCATGCTGTTGTCCGTATGAACTCCCCAGAGGGTAGAAACAAAGCTCTGGCGACCTGCTCCTCTCACCTCTGTGTGGTGAGCCTCTACTTTGGCCCTGCTATACTGGTCTACATGAGGCCTGGGTCCTCTAAAACCCCCAAGTTAAACCAGTCTCTGTTTATGTTTAATGCAATCCTTACCCCTATGCTTAACCCTCTCATCTATAGCCTGAGAAACAAGGATGTCATAGCAGCTGTGAAGAGTGTAATTATCAGTAGATGTCCTCTGGGAAAAATAAAAAGTTATACCTGATTGTAATTTCATATAGACACATTGTTTTCCATTAGTTTCATAAATTTTTAAGACTTTAAAAATATGTCATGAGAATCATAGAAACATTAGAGGCATTTTTGCTTCAGTCTTCTGGTTATGTAGTAATAAATACAAATAAAATATAAAATAACTTATCCATGGTCTCAGAGCTTTGTCTCAGTTTTTCTAACTCGAAATTTTAAAAGCACAACTCTGCTTTCTTAACAATACAAAGTTTCATTTTTGCCTGAATATGGAGATGTTGCTAGTGTACTATCTGTAAAAAGAAACACATGAGCTGCTCCTCAGAAAAGTGGAAAATTCACAACCAAAGACTGATCTCAGAGTGTAGGACTTCAGAGATCAAAACATTCAACCGATGTATTAAAATGATGTGTTGCTATTATGTGCCATCGATTCAGAACTGACTCATAGCTCACCTTCCAGCAAGTTTTCAGAAGCTGAAAATCACACAGGAAGAGAATGCCTATCATTCTCCCATGGAGCAGCTGGTGTGTTGGAATTACCTGCCTTTAGATTGACAGCTCAACTTGTTACCACTATGTTATCTAATTTGAATCACCTAAAACAACTTTTAAGCAAACTATGTGCCTATAGCCAATGTTGTTTTTATGTGCCATCAGCTCACTTGCAATTCATAGTGGCCCAATGTACAACAGCCCTAAACCCTGGTTTATCCTATGCCAACCTCACTATCTCCGACACACCTACTCCCATTACCCCAATCACTGAATTGATCCATCTCATTGAGGGTCTTCCTCTCTTGCACTGCCCCTCCACCCTCTTAAACATGATGTCCCTTTACAAGGACTGATCCATCCTTGAAATATGCCCAAAGTATGTCAGACAAAGCTTCAGAAGCCTGGCCTCCAAGGAGCAGGCCAGTTTCGCCCTCTCCAGGAAAAACCTGTTTGTTCTCCTAGCAGTCCATGGTATATTCAATACTCTTCTCCAGCTCAAAGGCATCAATTCTCTTTCTATCATCCCTTGTCACTGTCTAGCTCTCTGGTACATGGCACACAATTGCAAAGACTATGGGCCAGATCAGGTGCACCTTAGTCTCCAGCCTGATGTTGTTGCTCTTCAGTACTCTGGAGAGGTCCGTGACAGCTGACTTTCCCAATGCAATTCATCTCTTGATTTTCTGGCTGATGGTACCAACAGTGTTGACTGTGGAACCAAGCATACTAAAACTGTCAAAAATCTCAATCTCTTTCACCATCCATAATGATGCTGCCAATTGACCCAGTGGTGAGAATATTTGTTTTCTTGATGTTGAGCTTCAATCCATATTGAAGGCTGCAGTCCTTGACCTTCTGCAGCAAGAGCTTTGGGTCCTCCTCAGTTTCAGCAGGCAAGGTTGAATCATCTGCATAATGCAGGTTGTTGATGAATCTACCTCCAATCCTGATGCCACATTCCTCCTCCTACAGCCCAGCCTCCCAGATGATCTGTTCTGCATACAAATTGAAAGGGTGTGGAGACAGAATACATCCCTGGAAGACACCCTTCCCAATTTTGAACCATCCAGTGTCTCCTTGCTCTGTTCTGACAATTGTCTCTTGGTTCAAGCATAGGTTTCCCGTAAGCACAATCAAGTATTCTGGGATTCTCATTCTTCTCAGAATCAACCAGTTTGTTGTGATCCACACAGTCCAAAGCCTTTGCATAGTCAATGAAACACAGATATTCCTCTGGTACTCTCTGCTTTCAGCCAAGTTCCATCTAACATTAGCTATAATAGCCCTAGTACCACAGCCTCTTCTAAACTCAGCCTACACATCTGGCAGTTCTCTGTTGACGTGTGGCTCCCGTCATTTTTTTTTATAATTTTCAGCAGAAACTTGCTTGCATGTGATATTAATGATATTGTTTGATAATTTCCTCACTCTGTCAGATCACCTTTCTTTGGAATGGAAACAAATATCAATCCTCCAGAATAGTAGGTATTGTATTCTATGAAGAATAAAAGGTAAACCTGACTTCTTTCTCTTGACTTCATATATTTCCTTTAAGATCTTTTGCTGGTGATTTGAAAAAATTGGATTTAAAATGTCTCTTGTTGCTTACCCTCAAGTCAGAACGGACCCAAAGCTGACCCTCCAGCGGGTTCTCAGAGTCATCTAGTCACACAGGATGAGATTGCTCATCCTTCTCCCAAGGAGCAGCTGGTGGCCTCCAACCATGTGCCTTCAGGACTGCAGTACAGCTTCTTGCCACTAGGCCACCAACTTGACAAGATACAACAAAACACATCTAAGAGTGTATGACAATGTTAAATGAGTTAGCATGTAAAACCCTCCAGTGTGAGTACAGAGTATGTGATGTATAATATATTGTTTGTTGTTGTTATGTGCCATCAAGTCGTTTGCAACTTATAGCAACCCTATGTACAACAGCCCTAAACCCTGCTCTATCCTGTGCCAATCGCATTGCCTCTGACACACCCATCCCAATTACCCCAGTCACTGAATCA